GGAAGCATGTGTGAAGGGGGTTTAAGTGTGAGGGACATGTGTCACAAGGAGAGGAAGAGAGTTGGGGAGCAAGTTTGGTCCCCCCCTTCTCCAAGTGGTCCTCACTTCCCTTCTCATGTATTGATGACACTTGTTGATTTATTACTAGTTTGCTTATTTATTTTATTTTATCTTTAAAAATAAAATGTGGAATTCTCATAGTCCCACATTGATGGGAGAGAATTTCATACTTTCATCATTCCCTATAAATACCCAAGTTGGGATTTTGGGAATGATGCTTGAGTAGGAGTTTAATAAGGAATTGCCATTGCAAAAATCCTTGAACTAATATAAGACTCGGGATTTTGTCGGGCCTCGCTAACTCCGGTGCAACAGATCTTAAAGTTGGTAGTCATTTTGCGGGTGGATCTCCGTTGGAGGCCATCGTGTTTCCGGGGCTTGCTTTCAAGTAAGAGCCCAATCGGTCGGGCAAAGCACGCGACAAAGGTATATTTCCTATTTTGCCCTTTTGTGTTTATTTTATGCATTAGTGATATTAATTATTGCGAGCGTGATCCTTAGCTCGGGTTTTTTCCGCGGTGAGTAGGACTCACCAAACCCCAATAATGACTCAACTACATGACTCGTGTGTACATTATAATGTGATTGTGCGACCCGAAAATTGCAAAAAATTCCGTCATTTTTTATGGAGGGTACCGACTTTCTCCCGAAAAAGAAAGATACAAAAAAGGAAGAAGCGAAGTGTTTGAGTGTTTGTGGTGCATGCTGAATGAGTTTAGTCAAATGTATGGATTGATGTTGTTTCTCATGTGCAAGGATTATAACATCCTAGGCTATCTCGATTGTTGACTCGATGACAAAAGTATTTGGGTAACTTAGGCAAGAGGCTAAGTACTTCATATTTTGTGATGCGATGAGAATTATGATAATGAGTGATCTTGATATGACAAGGCTTGCTTCATCGTTGTGTTAAGATTTCATGACAAAAGGTTCCTTAAGGTAGGATTATTTGTCTATGTATATGTGATGTGTGTGAAAGTGACACTAAGTTTAAGCTGCAAAGGCTAAATGTATGTAAAAATATTTTGAGAAGAGTCAAATGATGGTGACTCTTAGGCTATGCAAGATAGTAATGTAGGGATCAAGCCCCCAATTCTAGCTCTAGATGAATAGGGATGAGCATTGGAGATCCCTTGATATGATCATGCATGAATATAAATATGAATGCATTTTTTATTACGGCTGCACCTCGATGTGAGGTTGCCTACGTATCCGTTAGGAATCAGGCCGAACGTAGCTCTAGCCGAACCTCGCACAAGTGTGTGTATACCTCAAAGAGGTCTTTAAAGGTTTGTAACATGGCTAGGATAAATTTTGAAGAAGAAGAAGGGGATAAAGGCTCAAAACCCTAGATAAGCCCCTAAGGTGTGCAACCTTGCTTTTGAATCTTTGTATTTGTATGCTTGAGGTTTTTCACTTTCGAACTCTCTTTTGTTTTATTTTTTTTTTTATCTCTTCTTTTTTTGCTTTTGTATTTGTTGATAAGTGTGGGCAATCCCGGTCATGCGGTCTCTCACTCACTTAGCATTCATGTTTCTCAGACACGGTACCGAGCACTCGATAAGAGACGCAATCTGAGACGTGTTCTTATCAAAGACATGTTCATGTCAATGACATTGGAACACTTGCCCTTTTGTACACTTTTAATTATTTCTATTTTTTTTTGCTATTTTTAATCACTCGAGCTTTTGTTCTTTAAAAATTGCATAGATTGCACACCATCCCATCCCAAGGTTAGGTAGATGTGGGTTGAAAAAATAAAGGTATGTCGTTAGACGAGGCTCAAAGTGGTTTATCAAGAAATGATTGTATATTTGAAGGGTGAAAGGTGATATGATGTGGCTACAAGGGGTGCCTCAAATCATTGGTATACCTTGTGCTTAGTTCGACATGGATTTTTTTTTTAATGCAATGTAATGAGATGATCATATGCAAGAAAAGAAATGCTCATTTTATTAAAACATAAAAAGGAAAAACCTACAAAATAAGATCTAAGGAAAATAAAAGGTGCCTATGCTAGACTTCTTAGGGAAAGGATGAATATCAGGAATGGAAAAAGAGGTCACGAAATCTTGTCATTGAAGCTCGCCTCTTGTCGTGTGCCTTATCATCACCCGTTCTTCTTGCCAGCTGGAGGTATGGGAAGCTTGTTATTATTGATTAAATGTTGGATGACCTCTTTTAGCTTTCAACAACTCTCAGTAGTATGTCCCCTACCTTGATGGTACTTGCAATGAGCGTCAGCATTCCAATTGGGTGACCTTTTTTTGGGTGCTGGATCTTGAAGAGGTCCAATAGGAGCGATGAGTCCTTTGGCATGGAGTCGATCGAAAGCGGTATCATAGTTCATCCCAATGGGGGTGAACTCTTTCCTTAGCTATTCCTTATGTCTCTGACTATCCATGGCTAAGACTTCATTGAGGTCAAAGATACTAACATTGTTACTAGAATGGGTGCTTTCGGAAGAAAAAGGATTGTCGTTCTTCTTTCCTTTCCAGCCACTGTTGCTGCTATTGTTAATGACTTTTTGTTTTGCAAGGTCATCTTCAATTTCAATACCTATGTGTAGACACCTAAAAATGTCTCCCCAAAACCAAACCCGATGATGAACAAGCTTGATCAAAAAATCATTCTCTTCTCTCGCTTTAGCCTAAACACTAGCCTCCCCATTCTTTCACTATTCCTTCCTTTAAGCACTCCAAGGAGTCCATACAATACCTAAAGTTCTATACTTTAACCAAGGCGTGATAAGTAGAATTAACTGAGGGTTTGGACCAAATCAAATCTACTTTTTATTTAATTTAATTTAATTTTCATTTGCTTTATATTTTTTTATTGAAGTTACTAACAATTTATTCATGATTTAGCAATTTAAAGGAACGGCAGAATGTGAGTAATTAATTAATTTAATTACTTATTTTATTTTAATATTGCTAGTATCATGATTAGGTTATTTTATATTTGATTTGATTAACGCTATTATTGTTAAATTGCTTTTAATATTAATGTTTATTTTATTATATTTATTGATCACCATATTGCATGTTTAAAGGGAATATGTAATTGAAAATCACGCCTAATAAGATAACTTGGACAACCGGTTTAGGTTCCTTTTTAATCTTGTTGTTTAATCAAGTGATCACAAATTTTATAGAATTATATGTTGCATTGATATTAAACCAATTTAGCATAATAATAGATTGGAGCGAATTGAATATTTGTTTGCATGCCTTTGAGATCGCAGGAATGCTTTTCACTATAAGAATCGAGTAGAGGCCAATACGGGCGAATGTGACTCCATGACTCACTTTGTACCATCATCCCCGATCCTCCTTTCGTGGTTCCGAACCATATGGAGTTAGTAATCTCATGGATTATGAATGGGGTGTAACATTCACGGGTCAATCGTTGTTGCCTATCGTTGTCCCTTATCGTGGTTGCCTTTTTATGATCCGTGAACGGTTTACAAGTTCCTTAAAAACTTGTTGGCGGCTCCCTACTTTGCTTTGTCCCTAATCGTTGTCCCTAATCGTAATGTCAATTCCCACTTCCTATGAGTGCCAAGCATATTCACACATGCTTTAACGTAGGCGCATTTCGAGCGACGCCTACACTATGTCATAGACGACCTTGAAAGTATTCAAATTATGTTGATATTTCAAATGCTTTGAATACTTGTCTTGAAGGTTCTTAATGAACATCCTTATGAACTCCTTTTCAGTAGGGACTTCAATCATATTAGCGGAAGTTTCCTTCCACTTGTTGAAGAAGGAGGTAAACCCTTCGTTTTCTTTTTGCTTTAGCATCTCAAGTTGTCTATGGTCAGTTTCAACTTGAATATTACATTTATATCTATCAATGAAAGCGTTTACAATAGCATCCCAAGTAGAGGTTTTTTCTTTGTCAAGGGAAAAGATCCATTGTTGACAAACGATTTCAAGAGATAAAGAAAACAATGAATCTAAGACTTTCCTATCAGTCCTTTTAATATTCATTATGGTCTCGGAAGCCCTTAGGTGGAAATAAGGATTGTCTGTAGGTCACCTTGAACCTAGGGATGTCGTTGGCATTGAACTTCTATGGAAGAAGCTCCTTGTCCAGTGAGACCCCTTGTGAGCTAATGCCCTGGAATCTATAGTCATTGGATAGTTTGCTCAAGCTTTCTTGCATGAGCTCCATTTATTATTGCTTCACAGGGTCATTGATTTGAAGAGCCATAGCCTTCATCAATTCAGTTAAGTTGGCCACGTCCTTCTTAAGTTCGTTGACTTCTTCCTGAGACGCCATTATCTTCTTAGCTTTTCTTTTCCGACTAATTGGTTTGTCAAAAAAGTAGTACTTAAACAAAGGTGTTGTCCTTGATTAAGAGCCCTTCTTTCCATGACCAAGTGTTGTGGGAAGGGAAATTATGGATACTTTTTGTTAATTATTTAACTCAAACTCTATTCAACATGCAGTAGATGGAAGAAGTTAGGAAGAATGAAGGTTGTGATATGGAGGAAGCATGTAGAGAATGGAAAGACGATGTAGATGGAGAGATATGAAAGAATTAAGAATAGAATGTATCCCCAACTCAAATGACGGAAAAAATCGACTCATGTATGAACTTAAGACATGGTCATGGTGACATATTCACAAAGTGTGTGCTAAGATTAATGAGTGTAAGTGTCATGTTTGACTCGTGTCATGACCATGTGACTAGTCTATGTGACTAGACTCAAACAAAGGCTAAGCTAAGACTTCACGTATGCCCCACTAAACTGGACAAGTTGTAGTATTTTAGTCATAACTTTTTATGTGTGACTCCGAATTGAACCAATCCAACGTCAAATAAAAGATAAAACTCGGGGCTACAGATCCATAGGTTGTACGACTCGTAACCATGGACCCTCTTAAAGTGAGATTATTTTCAAATTAAAAAAAAAAAAAGGATTATTTTAAATTAAAATGACTTGTGAGATTATTAATTTCTATTTTTCAAAAAAAAAAAAAAAACAATTAAACCGGTACATCATTGAAAATTAACTACGGGTAACAACCAATCAACCACACAAACCCAAACACCAACCAACTCCCTCTTTTTTTCTCTCTCCTTTCACGCCCGCCGGTCACCTCGCCGCACTCTATACTACACTCCTCTTTCCTTCCCTCTCTTTGCGATTCCTTTGTTTTCAATAAGGTTGTTATTTTGATTATTTTAATTTTGATTTTGGTATATAGTTCTCCGATTCTATAATTAAATTTGTATTCTTGCTTGCTTTTTTGTGCGATCGTTTTAATTTGATGTTGATTTGATGATTTCTGGGTTTGATTTCGATGATCCTCTAGCTGTTTGGTTTGAATTTAGGGGGACCAATTTGGCTTATATGGCTCTTGTTTTGTTGATTATGGTTTTAATTTTAGCTGTTATTGTAGTGAATTATTTTCCAAGTCAGGGTTACTAAAGCTTCAATTGATGAGTTTGATGACCAACAGATCAAGAATATCATATAGATTTATGATGGTATTCATAGGTTTTTTGTGGAAATTATCACAAATTCTTTGTTTAATCATTTGCGTTTTAGTGAGCATGCTTGGATGTTGTTCACAATTTAGGGGTAAGGTTGAGTACATCATTATGATAGCAGGTTGTATAAAGATCGAGCTTAATTCCATGTTTTTGACGATTTAGGGATAGGGTGGCTTGCATTTTGATGTGATAGAACATATTACTAGATTGTTGTTGCTGTCGTTTTTAGCTATGTATTCAGTTTGCATTTTATTTGATCTTAAATGATTTGGTTCACCTTGTATCATTGTTTGTGATTTATTGTTTATTAAGCTACTTGTTCATAAAAAAACAATTTTTAGCCTTGTATCATGGTTTGTGATGTATGGATTATTGTTTATCAAGTTTATGATATGATTTAGGAGGATTTTGAAGAAAGATAATAAAATTTCGTTTGAGCTTCTTATGGTTTTATTGGATTGTTGTTGTCCTTGTTTTTATCTTTGTATTGGTTAGACTATAACTGTAAGCAAATGTCTCTGAAGCTCCGATCTTTCTCTTATGTGCTCTTTCTTTTTGTTCTCAATTGTTCAGTTCCTTAATTATAGCAATAAAAGGCTTTATCCTCATGAGTGTTTGTTTTTTTTGGTTGGCCAGAAATCATGTCGTATGGAAGTACCTATCAACCTCAAGGTGGTACATTATATGAATATAATTGGCCATCCTTTCCTAGATATCATGACAACAGCAACTTATATCAAAATGATGACTATTATAGCTACAGCAGATATAATCATTACAGTAGTAGGATGTTTGATGATATGAAGAGGCACGACTTTCACTACAATGCCTTAGGAAATTGTAGAGAATTAGCCCTTAGAGAAAACTACTCAAGGCCTAGTGGCGTACCGTCTTTTAAAAGAAGAAGAATTTCAGAGAATGCTGGGGTAAATGATGGAAATGTTTATTTCCAACCAAATCAGAACAGAGTTGCCGCTTTCATTCCTTCATATGACAGTGCTTATTTTCCCACTATAGCTGCTCCTAGTACAAGTGCTAATTGTAACACATCGGGTAAACGTGGACGGTTGGTTCTAGAAGATGAAGATTGCACAGTCCTTATGTCTAGGGAGGAGATAGAAAGGTGTTCCCCTTCTAGAAAAGATGGGATTGATGCATTACATGAAACACGGCTGAGGTACTCATATTGTGCCTTCCTTCAGAACCTTGGGATGCGGCTTGATGTGTAAGTTTGACTGTTTACTACTATTTTTTTTTTAATAACTAGTCATTGCTTATGCAGAACATTTCTGGCTGAAGTTTAGCCTTTGTAAATTCACTCTATTTCCTGTTGCAATTCAGCTTACTTATTTTTGTTACCTTTATCTTTATCAGTTGATATGCTTTCTTATCTGATTTAATTAATTTACTTTGGGATGTTGTAGGCCTCAAACGACAATAGGCACTGCAATGGTTTTATGCCACCGCTTTTTCATCCGACGATCACATGCCAACCATGATAGATTTGTAAGTTGCTGTCAATACCTGTTTATTTATTGGATTAGTTCTCTTATAAGTGATGATTGAAAGGTCATGTAGCATATAGTCATTTTAGTATTACTAATTTACTACTGGGATGATTAAGTAGCTTATGCAAGAATCAGTTCGGTGTTACTAAGCCCCTTTGTCTTAGTGTATATCTATGCCGTTGGGATGTTGGAATCACTACCTCTATTCCTTGTTATTTGCTGCATCCAGTGTAGTAGTGGTGATGGGGAGAGGGGAGGGGGTGTTTCTCTAGTTTATCAAATTTTATTGTAAATTCTTAATCTCATAGAAAAAAAAAATTCAAGTGGGATTAAGAATTTAAGATACACTTATTTTTTTTCTTTTATTTTCTTTTTAAATTTTTCCTTTCTCAAATGTGTAATTTCTAATTATCAGTTTTTGGGCACTTTTGAATTTTGATATCAATGGTAAAGCTGAGAAATTGAGAAAATGTACATTTAGCAAATAATATGGACCAAAAGGAGTACTTGTCGTGTTCTTGTTGGGGAGAAAAGAGTGAAACATATTTTGGTATGTTTCTTCTAAAATTATGCTGCTTGTGGAACTTTCAAGTTGTGTATGTATGTTGTGAATGGATCAATGGAAATTGCATATTTCATAGATTAATTTGGGGGCAGGGAAGAAAAGTCTTTTTTTTTTTTTTTTTTTTTTTTTTTTGAATTATCTATCTACTTGTTAATTTGTTAAGCCACTATACTGAAAAAAGCTTTTTAACACACTCAGCAATGGGTGGGTTTTTTTTTTTTTTTCCCTGTAACAATTGTGTTTTGAAGTTAATCTATCAACAAATTTCTCTTACAGTTGATTGCTACTGCTGCACTGTTCCTTTCTGCAAAGTCTGAAGAGACAGCTCGCCCTTTGAATGATGTGTTGAAGGCGTCTTGTGAAATTCTCCACAAGCAAGAGCTTACCATCTTGTCGTACATGCTCCCTATTGTAAGTATATTGTCCTCTGTTCTTAGTATGTTAAAGTTGATCTGTTGATATGACTGCCTCTTGATATATGCTGTATAGGATTGAAGTTAATTTTGAAAATAAAGTCGTGGGCCATAATCCCATGTGATTATCCTAGTAATGATGATATTGATTTCTTTCAAGCTTATTATGAGTGCTAAAAATGTAGGTTGATGAGTGATGATAGTCTTTTTTTTGTTTGATTACAAATATGGCTTAGTTAGGTATTAGGAAATTACTAATACATGTTATGTAAGCTGTTTAATTTAGCCCTGGAGCTTTTTTGTATGCTGTTTTGAATGTTACTTATGCTGGCCCTACTTCTCAAAACCAACTTAAAGTTGATTCCTTTTCGTCTGATTTGGTTTTCTCTAGTAGCTTCAACAAATGCTTTCACAATTTAGTATCAACTCCTCAAATCTGTCGGATGATTTCAAAATTTCAACATTGTATATTTCCTTAACTAGGGGTGGCTTTGGGAATAATACCCTTTCTAAGGAGTAGCTTTAAATAAAATTCATCATATTAAGGTTAAAAATCTGGCATCTCTCTGTACGGGTGGTGGGAGGTTGGGGTGGGTTTCGTGAAAAATCTTTTTCAGGTGTAGTTGACTCCGTTTCTGTTAACTTTGTCCTGGATTTGTTGAAGCTTGAACTTGAGTCTTGTCTAGTTGTCTGTGTCTGGTCAAGCTGACTCTGCCTCTGCTAACTTTGGCTTGGTTTTAAGCTGTCATGCATACCATCTTAAGTCATTAATGGAATTTGCATTTCAGTTATGTGTTTGGCCTTGACGCTGCTCTGTTTTCTTTAATATGTGATGTAGCAATGTAGCATTATCAAGTATATTAGGCCTATCCCTTTATTTCATAAATTTGTTCGAGTATGAATTTCTTGATGAACTTGTTCCTTGATGCAGGATTGGTTTGAGCAATATCGGGAGCGAATCATTGAGGCTGAGCAATTGATTCTAACTACGTTAAACTTTGAGCTCAGTGTACAACATCCTTTTGATACTTTGACATCCATTCTTAACAAGTTAGGTGTATCACAGACACATTTGATGAATCTGGCACTGAATTTGGTCAGTGAAGGGTGAGTTTAGAATCTTATTATACTTCATTGCTTGCTTGTCTTTTTGCTTGAAACATTGTAATGCTGGAATGTAGCAATTTGGGAGATGATAAGAGATTTCACGTTCTGTTGTAAGGTGTTGCTGGCCAGGTTTCAAAAGCTTGAATGTGCTTGTCCATTTATCATTTTATATGTTTCATCATGGAGAACTCAGGTCTAGTACGTGAAGATCTTCTGTTTATAACCGCTAAGTGACTGGATGTCATCTCAATCGAACTTCTGTTGGCATCTGTTCAACGGAGATGAATTATTTCATGCTATATTTTCCTTTTATATGACATGATTTTTACTTGTCTAATGAGCAGTTATTTCTACATGTTATGTTAGGCATAAAATATTAATTATTTGGCACGGAAAATAATTGCAGGGTTGATATGCCTAGCTGGCGGAGATTTGCTATAATGAAGTTATGTTTTACATCTGAAGTTGAACTGCCGTTGTGTTATGGTTGCTTAACTCTGAAAATGCCTGTCAAGCTGGTATTTGGCTATAACAGATAGACATAGACTCATTCCAGAATCGGTTTAAGTAGTTTTCCAGCTTATTTTTTTTGGGGTGACATCAAGTATTCTTTTGCTGTTTTTATTTCTGATGAATTAATATTTTATTAGAAACTAGGCTTGACTTTGATTTTATGCCCTTTTGGTAGTCAATATGTGGTTGATGAACAAATGATGAAAAGGGAGGGAGGCTTTTGGAGTGTGAGGAAACGAAAATATGGGCATGAATAGTGCATCTTATGCACAACACAACAGTAGTCATTCTGTTGGAGACTTAGAGTGGTTCCTCCTTTCTTGCTTTGTGATTGAAGGGAGGACATAGTCAACCAATCAGTAGGACCTGCTGCTATTATTGCAGGGTTGCCTACTTTGCCCTGGTTTTCTCATGTTTTCCATTCTCAAACCTTTTGTTTCCCCTTAATTGTGAAGCTTGTTGTTGGTGAAAGCCCTTGCCTCTATGGATTAGTATAAAGGGCTTTGATAAGGAGAGAATTTGCCAGAATCGTTGTCTTCGGTGTCAATTCGTATAGTGAAATTGGTCTTCTGGATTAACCAAATGCAGCAAATCTGGTAAGTTGAAGCCGAACATTTCAAATCATGTGCTCTACAGCATTATATCTTGACCTCCTGAAACACCTAGATTTGCAAAAAGTCAGGTTATATTACCCCACTGTAGTCAGCATGGCTTATTGCTGTTGATGGGTTCTTTCAGATCCAGAAAATATTGAAGGGGAAAAACAGAAATAACATTGAATGGGAAAAAGAAAGATTGACCAATAGGTTAGTTTATGTTTTGCACTCCTTTATGAGAATCAAAGTCAACAATGTTCGAATTGAGCAAGGATACCTCTTTTTTAGAAAGACCTTCTTGAACACACTGGGGATGCTCATATTAATTACACTCTATAGTTATCTCATCAGGATATCAAGTTATTAATGCATAAAGTTATTAATTACACTCTATAGATATGCAATGAAATAATATCTATACTTCTATAGTAGAAAAATAAGAATCTACTCTGTTCTTGGATAGTCCCTTCCCCTCCCTCTTGGAATAAATGGGTCTCTGCAACATTTTCTTTTGGGAAGTGTCATTACATGTTTTCTCAGAGAGATTGCACTTAATCATCAGGATTTTTTTTTTTTTTTTTTTCTCTCTTTATTATCTATGAGTTTGATTTGAAGGAGGCTGAGTGATGGCGATTACCTTGCCATCATTTTGTGATGATGCAAAGCTGTCTCTTCTTGCAAACCAATGACTATCAATGTAATGTTGAAATTGATTTGTTGTATCCCATTTTGTGTCAGGCATGTGTAATCAGTAATCACCATTATGGAAACAATTTCTTTGTTTATAAGATTTTCGATTTTTTTTTTTTTTTTTAATTTTTTTTTTAAATACCAAAATGGTTTTTATCTACATTTTAAGGGTTAGAAATCCATTGAAATTTGGTATTGAAGGTGAACTCTTGCCTCTTGGTTTATTTGGCTGCTGTGGTAAATCATATGCCTAAAGTGATGTATATAGGTTGAAAATGGATAATGAGAAGTAACTTCCATTTGAATACTTGTATATTTTCTCTTTTGGGTTATGTTCATTGCTGTGTTATAGAAATTTGAATCTAGATCCTTAGATCTTATGTTTTGATTTTTCAAAATCAGGAATTCTTTGAGCTAAAACTGTTTGTCTGTTTGCATATCTGTACATGGTTTGGCTTTTGTGTGTGTGTGTGTGTGTGTTAGTTGGAATGTGGAAAGTTTCCTTGGATATATGTTGCATATTTTGGGTCTAGACTCTAGACTCTGTCTCTTTGGTCTAATGATGATCTCATAGTCTTTCTTAATTGCTTCAGTTGATTATAATATTCTGTTACCCCTCACTTATATTATGCCTTAAAAATACAGGGAGACTGTGATTGTTCCTCAATGCATTATCACTTTTATTATCTTTAAGAGATGACAATGATGCACCACCTTCGATCAACTGTAGGAGTTCAGTATAATTTGGTTTGATATTTGAAAACACTGGATGATTGTGCCACCATTGATCTGTTTGAAAGTCTAGTTATATGTTATGAGCCTTGTATCTGAAGTTGTGGCAATGTATCTCTGTGATCTAGTTTGAGACTAAGGCTCTTAGTTGAGTCGGTGATAAATTCTTGGGTAAATTGACAATATCCTATCGCCAGAGCATAACATTATATATGGCATAACGCTTAATAACTACCAAATAAAAACAGGAAATAAGAAGAAAAAAATGTTCCATTATTGTTTATTTTGAACTTTGATATTATCTTTGTTAAATGCTATGAAGTATTATCTATGTGCAATTTTGAAGCAACTATGGCCAGGTGTTAGGCTGTAAAATTTTCGAAGTTTTACTATCTGTACTGGACATATGGAGCTTTCAAGTCGACAAAAGGGCTAAAAATGCGTTGATACTTTGCAACAAGTAATGCTTAACATGTATGAAAACAAGAAGTGGTTTTGTATTTAAGATGTGTTTGAAGCCGAAATTGATATTGATGATGGAGATCCTCATACCCCTTTATTTCTGTAATTAATTCTTCCTCAGTCTCCTTCAGTCCTTTTGTGCCAGCACTCAGCAGGAAATATTATCGGCTATACTCAGTGATTTATAGCTTTTGGTTGGTTATTAGTTTGATACAAAATGGTTTATTCAGAACAATTTAACTTAAATTTGAGCACTTGGTGAGATCCTTTAAGTGATGTATCTCAATAACTCTTGCACATTTTTTTATGGGAATGGTCGCTTGAAAAGTTGGCCAGAAAGAAAAATGATACATTCCTAGTTTAGATTTATCTGTGTAGTCTGGAATCTATACCTAAAAATTGACACTTGAGTCCAAATATAATAGTGAATTTGTGTGTAGAAAGACTGAAAGAGGTATCAGTTTGTGGTCTATTAGAATCTCACTTTGTAAATTAGTGGACAGTTTGCGCAAAATATATTGCCAAATATTCTTGACATGACGGTGTGGTATCATCAATTGTTATAATTTAGCCATTAGATTCAATATATCTATTATTGCCAAATGATTGTGTGGCTTATGGTCTGATGAATACCTAAGAAGATGTGAATGGTTGTTGTGCTTCCATTCTTTGAGTATTAAATAGCAACACACCATGGTCTCTTCAATATCTGTTCTTTGAGGAAAGATGGCTGAACATTCTAAAAGGTTGGCCTATGTTTTTCGCCATCTGAATGTTTTGAGATGCTGGACTACTAGATATGTACGTGGGAAAAAGGCTACAGTTAGAACTTCTTTGGAAGTTGGAATGATCTCTTTAATGATTGTGAAGTATTATTGTAGTTTCGTACTCCTTTCAGCTGTTCACCAGAAGCGTTCAACTAGGTTGCTGGTTAAAATTTTGGTAAGAACACATGTCTTGGTCTGTTGTTTCTTGCAACCTAGTTGGAAACTTGGAATCAATATTACATTTCTGCCGCTGCCGCCCTTTTGTTGTCTTCTGGTGTTCTTGGCCTTTTTTATAGATGATGTAGTTTGTTATGATGTGTTAATATGCCAGGCTATTGGAGGTATTTCTGAAATCCTGCTGTAAAATTTTTGTTTTGCTTTCTCTTGGGATGTTCATTCATCCTGGACGCCATGTCTCTTCCTCTGCTACAATAATTTTGTTATATTTGTGTTTCTTTATTTTTTTTGCAGTTTTCGGAGCTCACTGTGGCTTCAGTTTAAGCCCCAACAAATTGCTGCCGGTGTAGCATACCTTGCTGCCAAGATGCTGAATATGAACTTTGATTCTGCCAGCATTTGGCGGGAATTTCAGACCCCTCCAGCTGTTCTTCAAGGTAGGTGAATCTTCCATAATCTATTTTCAGCATTTATTGGTTTCCCCCTCTTTCTTAGTTTCTCTTTTATGTGAATTTGTACAAGTGCCTTTGTAATTTGGACTATTATATACACCAGAGCTTGTGGTTTCCTTATGCTGTTTCATGGTCATCATTCAGTCTTTATTTTTGGTTATAAATGAAAATGAAAATTTTCCATAAGTAAACTGTTGCTGTTTTGGTGACTGAAGTGTATTCTTCATTGATCCTTCAATTGACTTTTCATGACATTTACTGGCTCTAATGGATTGATCAATTCCATTAAAAAATCTGAACCAACTTTAGTAAAAATGCTAATGAAGAGATATTTCCCAGGTAGCAGTCACTACAAAGAAACTATGCGAATATTTTAATGTCTACTATATTTAACATCCATATTATGAGATTCTTTTTAGTTTTTACAGGTTTGTAAGGTAAGACATTTGAAATGAACCTTGAAAAGTTATTTAATCAAAATTATTTTCTAGTAAGTGGTGACATCATGCTCAGTACAACTTAATGGTCTAACAATGATTTGGGATGAGTGATGGATATCTAGCAATGATTTGGGCTGAGTTATGGATATGATATCTGATGATTGATGCTTATTATAGACAAAAAAAGCTATTATGTTACTCTCTCTGTTTTTTTGTTTTTGTTTTAATTGCAACAGTTCTTATTATTTGTTTATCTACGTATATTTTTTAAATGCAACACTTTCTTAATTGGAAATGGTCTACACTATTTTATTATATCTCATTCGTGACTCCTTACAATGTCCAGACCCCTACTCCACTTCTACACTGGTCAATTTGTTGCATATATATAAAGGGTAAGGGAATCCCCACCCCAAACTCCCAAAGTGGCTCTAGTGGGGTTTGATGTTGTTGTGGATGACAAACCTTACCACTAGACCAGGCTAGCCATCCGAGAGATATTAGATCTCCTGCTGTACTTGTGATTATGTACATATTTTTTTTAGTTACATCAGTTTTAGAGATCTAGTTCTTTCAGCAAGTTGCCTCCCCATATCACTATTTTCTTGAATTAGGTTGTTGAAAGGAGTCATAGAAAAGTATTGCTTGTTGCATTCATAGCAGCGTTTCTAAGAGCCATGTGTGTTCTGAAGTCTGATTAGATTATGTGAATATCTGTATTTGTATTTCCCATTCTTTCCTCTTGTTTTCATTTATCATATAATTACGTGTCTTTCTTTCATGTGCAGATGTAGCGCAGCAGTTGATGGAGCTTTTTCAGGATTAATCGAATCTACATGAAGGTTCTGCTATGAAGGTTCTGATTGTGAATTAATGACATGACTCTAATTAAAGAATTACTCCTTTAATTTATGCAGTTATGACTAATGATTTTCTTAAAAAAATCAAAAAAATTAAATAAGGCAAAATTATTTATGGAGTGTTTTTTTTTTTATTTTAATGCTAGATTCCAAATATTCTCCTTTTCTTATTTTATGTGATTGATTCTATATGAGACTATCATATTGAAACGAAAGGAGTAGTATTTATTGAGACGAATCCAAAAAGATATCACATGAATATGTTTTTCCTTATATATTATTCACAAAAGACTGTCAAATGAGGGGTGATGAATAGTGTAAAATTCAAAGCGGGTCAAGTAAAAAATAACAGAGAAAGTAGTATGTTTTTGTTATGCTTAACAGTTTGTCGCTAAAAAAATTAATAACAACGATTACTCATTTTATTGGTAGCAATTAATAAAGACGAATAAGTTAGATTGTCAATATTTGTTGCACAAACTTTTATATGTAGCCGGCAAACCGCACGATCGGCCACTTTTTTTTTTTTTTTTTTTTAAAGAATGATCAGAGTTACTTGGTTAAGGTAATTCACTCGATCAGTCTAGGTTTACTTGGTCAGAGGTTATTTTATTGGTTAGAGGTTACTTAGTTAGGGGTTACTTGGTCATTGATTACCCGATCAAGGTAGATTACTTGATCAGGGGTTACTCGGCTGATCAAGGGTTACTTGTGTGTTAGCTGGCCACACAGTGTGGCCAATCACACACAAAAGTTACTGTTGTTGTTGACAATGAAAGTCTTCACTTAATTTTTTTCTACTCACTATGTAATACTTTGTATTTTCTAACCAAAATTAGCGTTAACATCTTGAATTGTACCTTAAGAACACCTATTACCCCGAACTTTGACTATTACCAAACACACCACCAATTATTGATTGGAGTGCAACGTGTGCCATTAATTATAAAAAAATGTCTTATTTTGAGCGTAAAAAAAATACAGTGCCCATTAATGGCACACATTGCACCCCAATTAATAGTTGGTGGTATGCTAACTACTAATCAAAATTTGGAATGCCAGAGTTCACCCAAGCTATAATTCAAGGTGTTGACTATTAAGGCCAACTTTGCCTATTTTGAATGTGATTTGGCAATATAACAATGGATTTTTTTTATTTAATTTTTTTTTTTAGATAAAGAAACCCTTTTTTATAGTACATTCATTGGTCATTTCCCTAGCACTCCTCCTCATAAGTGATTTCTTATACTATTTCTGTTTCATAATTTTTGCAACTTTGGGTATTATTTGTGAGATATAAAATATTCCAAAGTTATAAAAAAATTATAAAACAGAGGTAGTATATTATCTATCAAAACACTTCGAATTAAGGATGTGAGGTGACCTGAGATTTGAGAGTTGAAGGAAATCAGAGAAGAGGGGTGGGGAAGGGGGTTGTTACATGTTAGTACTATATATTGGTGATAAAGATGGGATGGTTGGTGTGATGATGGGGTATTACCGTATTATTATTGCGGGAATGCATGACTAATATGGGGTGGTGCTGTGGGGTATTTATGCGGGAAATTGCTAGAGAATAATTAAATTTTTTATTATTGAATAATTAAATAACACCACAAAAAAGTCATGATTTTGATTATACCAATAACAAAAAATCTTATAGTTATAACACCACATAAAAACCTAAAAAATTGATTTCATATTATTGGTTAAAAAAAAAGGAAAATTTGCGAATTGCAGCCATTTAAAGTTAATATTTTGCAAATTCCCGCCATTTAAACAAAATTGCAAATTGCTGTCCAAAAGTTCTTATAAATTGTATTGCAGTTCGATTTAACTTTTTTATCGGTTTACGTGTCGAAAAATCTTCGGATAAGGTTTTAGGAACCATTTTAGTCCTTAAGTTTCCGAATTGAGCTCAGAATTATTAAAGAAATAGCATAAGTGTCTTGTTTTTACAGCAAAAAATATTTGCCCACAAATTGACACATTTTTGTTACGCAAAATGAGGCACTAACTTTTTTTTTTTTTTTGCTAATTTCGAGCTCAATTCAGACCCTTAAGAACTAAAATGGCCCCTAAAACCTTAACCGAATTTTTTAGACACGTAAATTGATGAAAAAGTTAAGTCGGACATCAATTTACAATTTATAAGAACTTTTTTCGCTGTAATTTGCATTTTTTTTTAATGGCTGCAAGTTGTAAAATAAAAATTTTAAATGGTTGTGTGCAATTGGCACATTTTCCATAAAAAATTTTTTTTAAAAAAAA